GCGTCCCTGCGGAGGCCCGAAGGAGCGGGCGGGTGGGCGAGAGGTGGCCATGGGGTGTTCCCAGGGTGGGGGGGGCTGGCGGGGTGGCCACATCGTCCCCGCGTCCCCACGATGCTGTGGTCGCTGGTGCTGACCCTGCTCTCCATCCTGCCCTTCCAGCCCTGCATCCTGATGAACAACATCCAGCAGCTCCGCGTGCAGCTGGAGAAGATGTTTGAAGCCATGGGGGGAAAGGAGGTGAGTGTCGGGGTGCCTGGGGTGGGGAGGATCCCCATAGTCCCATCTCCCTGGGGACAGCCCCTTCCCCAGCTCCACAGCCCCTTTCCCTCCCGTTTTGTGCCTGCACAGGCCACCCTGTGTCACCCCATGGCACCCTGCTGTCCTCCAGCTCCCACTAGGGCTGGGCTTTACCCTTCCCCGTGGTGCCTTTGGGGTGCAGAGAGCCCCCTGGGACTGGGAGAAAGTCCCCCCATGTCCTCTCCAACCCATCCCCTGTCCCCAGCTGGACACAGAAGCCAGCGACATCCTCAAGGAGCTGCAGGTGAAGCTCAACAATGTCCTGGACGAGCTGAGCCGAATCTTTGCCACCAGGTACCCCCGGGTGAGGGGATGAGGGCCAGGGGCTGTTGGGCAGGGGGGACCCTTGGCCCTGTGGCCTGGGGGATGCTGAGCGCTGCGGTCCCCAGCTTCCAGCCGCACATCGAGGAGTGCGTGAAGCAGATGGGTGACATCCTGGGCCAGGTGAAAGGCACCGGCAACGTCCCCGCCAGCACGTGCAGCAGCGTGGCCCAGGACGCGGACAACGTCCTGCAGCCCATCATGGACCTCCTGGACAGCAAGTGAGTGTGGGGGACAGCAGGGCCTGCATGGGGACCCCTGTGACACCCCAAGCCTCCCTGGGAGCGATGGGGACTTCTGCCAATATCCCATGGGGATGGTGGTGGCTGAGCTACCAGAGGTGCCATGCTCAGCCCTGTCCCCTCTCTGCAGCCTGACACTCTTTGCCAAGATCTGCGAGAAGACGGTGCTGAAACGGGTGCTGAAGGAGCTCTGGAAGCTGGTGATGAACACAATGGAGAAGACCATCGTCCTGCCGCCACTCACTGACCAGACGGTGAGGGACAGGGGACGGGGCCTGGGGACCCTGGAGCTCACCTGGGCCTGTGCCCTGTGCGCGGGTGGCCTGTGGGGGACATCACTGAGGACTTGGGGGCTTCGCTCAACCCCCCAGCTCCTGGCTGGAGAGGGCACGGAGGAGGGAAAGGTCCATGCTGGGGTGCCCAGTGCCATCAAGCACATCTCACCGAAGGACTGTCACCCTCCTGGCACCCCCATCGTGGCACCTGTGGGGGGAAATCGGTCCTTTCCTCCCCATCCTTCCCCTCCAGGCTGTGGGTGCAGCATCCCCTACTGTGGAATTGAATCCGGGAAGTGAATCCATCAATCCGGTGACGCCGCGGGGCTGGGATTGCTCCACGGATCAGGGAGCGGCTGCTCCAGACTCAGGCGTGATGGGCTGGGCTCAGTCCCTGTCCATGGCCTGGAGGGGTCCACATGGATTCGGGGGCAGAGGGAAGCGTAGGGAATCGTCAGGCTCCTTGGAGAGAGACTTTCTGAAGGCTCCGTCTCACGCTGCTGCGTGTCCCCGCGCTCCTGCATGTGGCAATGTCCCCAAGGCTTCGTGGGGCAACTGCCACCGCCTGGCCTGGTGGCTTTTGCTGGGGGCACTTCTGAGCCCTTGGCAGCCTAGCAAGGAAAGGGATAGTCCCCCTCCAGTGGGACCAGTGACACCAAAGGCTGTCCCTGTCCTTGTCCTGCTTGATGGCTTCCCCTAGAGCTGGGATCTGGGAATCTTGGATGGGCTCTACCAGGGGGTCCCCAGACCTGCTCTGTCAACGTCTCTCGGTCCCCCAGGGCCCTGGGGCTTCCCACACTGGGTGTCTAAGGGACAGTGTGACACAGGCTGCTTCTCTGCAGCCCTTGGCACCGAGGTGGCCCAGCGAGGAGCCGCCTGCGTCAGCGCGGAGCAACGGCAACGCTCCGGTCTGGGGGCTCTGCGCTCTTGGAGGAGCCAGACCCAGGGGTCCTGTCCCTTGTGCTGCGGCAAGAAGAGGCTCCCATGGGCGTGTGGGTGGCTTAAAATGCCACAATGGGATTTTTTTTCCCCCAATTCTGGGGAGTTTCTGGCTGGAGGCTGCTCTTGGTGCTGAGTAGGGTCCAACTTGGGGAGTGTCTATCCCCAGAGCAGCACCCAGAGCGGCTGGAGGGGCGTTTGCTCCGCACTGCGATCCGGGCAGGCAGCAGCAGCTCTCATCCCGGCACGTCACCGCGCCAGGGTCACTGTCACTGCGCATCACCCCACACCGTGTGTCCCGCTGGGACAGACCTGCATGGGTGGCAGGGGCCGACGCGGGGCCGTGCAGGGCCGGGGCGCTGGAGCACCGGGATCCTGGTGCCGGATGCCCTCGGGGAGGGCGGCCGGGGCTGCGGGCAGCCGGGGGTGACAGCGGGATGTGACACTCATGCGATGGTTGTTCTCTCCACTTGCTCCGCTCGCCTCTCAATGGCAGATGATTGTAAGTACGGCGGCTCCCGGGGTGTCTGTCTGTCTGTCCGCTGTGTGTCGGTCCCGACCTCGCCGGTTCTTGTCTCGTGTGGCTGTCCCCTCCTCACCCTCCTTGTCCCCTCGTCTCCTTGCTTAGCACCGGCTCCTGGTGGGACACCCAGCTGGGCCAGGGCTGGAAGGGTTCCGGAGGCACCCGAGGCCACTGGATTTGCCGGGCTGTGGCTCAGGGATGGGATAGAGGGACGGAGCTGCCGGCACTTGGCAGTGCCACCTATTTGGGACCAGCCAAATCCAGGCTGATCCCCTCATCTTGCTCTGCCATGGAGGGGACAGAGCTCATGAGGAGCATGAGAAGGAGCAGGATGTGCTGGGCAGATGGGGGCTGCTCTTCTTGGTCGCCTTCGTTTCCCTATGGGATTGTGGCCGTGCTGGGGAACGGCGGGTGCTGAGGGCAGAGGCTTTTGGTGACAAGGATCTCGCGAGGACGCGGAGGTCCCAGCTGGGGTTGTGGGGTAATCGGGGCAGGGGGCAGCTGCCCAGCAGGCCTTTCCCTGGGTCGGGATCCATGACCGGGATCCTGAACTCCTGTGCCCCCATCTCAGCGCTGCTGCCGTTTCCTTGCACGGCTTCGACCAAGGGATTCCCTTCCATTGTCTCCTGCTCCATCGGGGACAGCAAGCCAGATCCCTGTGCGACATCCCTCGTCCCCCCGACCAACCTGCGCGCCCCGAGGCCCTTGGCACCTTCCCAGGGTGCCAGGTCCTGGGTGCCAGGCACTTGCCTCTCTGGTCCCTGCAGGGGACAAATATATGTCCTCTCTGTCCCCACACCTTCCTTTGCAAATAGAAGCATTTGGAAAGACCCTGGCAGCAGCCCCCAGACCTTGCGGGCACCGATGTGGGTGCCAGGCTCCAGCCCAGGTGGCCTTTGTCTGTGCTGGGCCACCCACTGTCCCTGCACCGGGACCAATGTCCCCGCTGAAGCCATGGGGACAGTGGCAGCTCTGCCCAACCCCGGGGGGATCCCAGGCAAAGGGGACCCCCCCAGCACCACGTGCCTCAGTTTCCCCTCAAGACAGGACCCCCTCCGTAGCCCTAAAGCTGCTGTTTGCTCAGCTGTGCCCCCAAAACCCCCGAGGCTGGTTCAACCCCGCCATGTGCCACATGTGTCCCAACTTGTCCCCCCCACCAAAGCATGGGGGCAGCGAGCTCTGCACCTTGCCTGCAAAATCCCAGCGGGGGCTGCACCCCGGCCACGCAGCCCCCTCTCTGTCCCCTGTTATCCCTTGTCCCCGAGTGCCGCCCCCCGGCCTCTCACGCCGCCGCTCACCCTCTGACGTTGCTTCTACAGGGCACGCTCTTGAGAAAACATGGCAAGGGGACAGAGAAGGTAAATAGCCCG